ACTGGCATGAGACTGTTCTTATGACATGGGTACTGGTTGGTCTAGCAGGAATATGTGCTAAACCGTTTTTTATTATCGAGCTTCCTACAGAGATGTGACACTGTCATGTACGGACAAGATTTTGGAAAAGAGAGGGAAGGGAGGGGTTATTTACTCAAAAAGTTAGTTTTGGGATAAAAGTTGCGATAAAAAAAATGGTTGGGGGAGATTGTCTAGAAAGTCTTATGAATGAGGGGTTTTATAATTTTCTCTTAAAATTTCATGTTCGATCTTAATTATAAAATTTTTAATGTTAAAAGCAGTGCCAATCAAGCAAATCTATCTAGATAATTTGTTACAAGATGCACTATTTTTAAGATTAATTTTTTTTTTTTTCTTGTATACCTACCTCTTAAAGTTGAAATAATCAATTTGAAGGTTTTTCAATTCTGGAACGCTCTTTTTTATTGGATTTTTTAGAAAGTGCATATAAACTTTCCTCCTTTAAATAGAGCGGCAAGATACTAACTTTTTTACACGACAATTCAATCTAGAATCATGAGTTATTTTCAAAGTGTATTTTGAGTTGTGCACCTGGATATAGTCGGACGATATGTGTGGCATGAGTTATTTCATGCACCTCTAAAGTATATATGCACTTCCTATTTATTCAAAGTTGGTCACTGGATTGGGCAAGTCATATTTTCAAAATCTAATATTCTAAAAAATAACTTCAGCTGGTGTTTTACGCAAGGGAACAAATGGACATTTAGCTACAGTAGCAGTTTGCATGGTGTACAAGACACATATGCACCAACAATTTTTTGCAGTATTTTGCTTATGGCTCATCATCATCTAAAGCCGGTCGTAATTGTATAATAATCTTTAACTTTGTATATTGCTTCTTCAAATTGGATTCACTTTAAAATTTGAGGGTGTATGATTGCACCTAAAAATAAAATATATAATAAATAATTCAAATAGTAAAAATAAACAAAATTCCCCTATAAATACTTCAATTATATTTTTGTTATTTTATTCAAAATTTATTTTTTAATATATTTTTGGTTGCATGATGGTTAGAGTTACAAACACCCCAATTTTGAGGTGAATTTGATTTGTAGAGAAAATAAAATTATGATACTATCAGACGAATATGGCTAACCGTGAAGTGTTTTGCTCATGGGTGTTTGAAAATATATAAAAAGAAAAAGAAAAAGAAAAAGTTTAGATAATACGGCAATCTTACCTTCACAGGTAAAGCTACAAAAATTTATACCATCTATTTTAGTTACCAATTTCGCAAAATTCTGGATTATTTTTCATGGTTTGAAAATCATTAAATAAAAGAATGTCGGGAATCTTTGCTATGTGGAGGGAAATTATTTGAATGTAATCAAATGGTGCAATAAAGAGCAATGCGTGCTTTGATAGTTGAGATCAATCTGGCTACAAGTTATGGATTTGGTGGCTTCCTTGACCGTGCTAATGATATAGCGGATTCCCTTGCCAAGAAGGGTATGGCTTTATCGTCGATTGCTACCTCTGAAAAAAAAAACAAAACAGGCAGGACCCGTCTTCCCGATTGAATTACCAAAAAAAAAAAAACTTCACAAATGAAATTTTGGATATTGTAGAAAAAAATAAAAAATAAAAACATAAATAAATATATATATAAAAAAAAGTTAGGACAAGCTAGATTTAACGTCATCTTAAAAAAAAGTACTCATTTTTGACATTGACTTAAAAGAGGGTCTGAAAAATATAACTGACATACAACACAGGAAAAGTCGAGTGACAATCATTCTTTTCCAAGAAGCCTATCAGTCCACGCAATGACATTACATAGGTGGTGACTTTGGTACCTCGCATTGTCCCATTTTTATTTGGAAAGGCATCCCAACCCCTTTTCATTAATCAATGCTAGTCACTAGTCCAATCCCTTAACCAATGAACTTTGACTGCAACTTCTTCCATTGCAAAGAGACCCTTTAATAATGCAGGGGCATGTGTAGAGCTCTTGTATGGCCCTTGGGGCATTTTGGAGGCAAGTGCCTCTATATGTTAGAAGGTGATGCCCATTGGGGCATTTGTGGAGGTAAGTGCCTCTATATGTTGAAGGTCATAGCCATATATACACACTAACAACAATAGAGAAAAGGGGTGTTAAGTGTATAGTTATCAAGACTAGACCGAACTCGGTGGTCCGATGGGTTGAATCGTCCATTGGTGCTTTAGTTGGATTTGGTAAAAATCAGATAAAATTAATGCTTGATTGGCTTTGTCTAGTTTGGCTTTTTAATTTCAACAAGTTAGACCGGCCAGATATGGTTTGATATTGTTTTTAATATATTTCATATTTTAAATAATTAATTTAATTATTTATATTTATGAAATTCAATCTAAGAACATTTCAAAAAACATAGAGTAGGAAAAATTGAAAGTTATATATGTAGGCACCCTATTTTTGAATTGGCTAACTTTCCCTATTGTTCCTATTTTTAAAATTTTTAAATCCCTAAAATTGCATTAAAAATGTCAACTAGACCCCAAGGGACCATCTCACCCAAATAAACCATAGGTCACCCCTTCTATAGTACATAGTCCTTTGGACCACGGTCCCAACCTTTTAGTCCTTTGGACCATGGTCCCAACCTTCAAAAAATATTAGAGAATCTCCAAAATAATCCTAAAACACTAGGAAACTATCTTAAATTCTAGAAAGTCATCCTAAACACTAGAAAGTATGAAAACCAACTTAGGATAGAAGCGTTCGAGATAAATTCGAAGAAGAAAATACGAATTTGAATCAATATCAAGAAGATCAACAAAATCCTGAAAAATTAGCAAACCATAAACGCCACGGTTTTGGACCATAGAGCTTGACATGCCATGGTACGTGGCGTCTAATATGTAGATCCATGAAACCTTGAAAAATCAGCTCTCACATATCTAAGAACCCTAGTCACCACTGTTCGTGGCGTCTAGGTCAGAAACCCCTAAACGCCATATAATGTGGCATTTGAACCTGTCTGACTAGTTAACTCAATTTTTTTGTTGGAATCCAACATGAATCATTCCCAACCGACTTAGAACCAACTTTTAAAGCCTATAAATTTTTTTATTTTGGGTCATTTAATGAAATAACACCTAGTTTATCTAAAAAACCTAATACTCAAAGAAAAGTTAGAAGTTTAGAAGCCTCATCTTTTAGGCCTAAACCCTAGTTTTCTAAACCCCAAAGTCGAGAGAACAGACCTCACCCCAGGTCATCTAAACACTAGATCGTAGAAGACATAACACTAGATCGTAGAAGACATAACACTAGATCTAAGCTACAAAACTTTTAATTCAATGTTAATGTCTAACAACCGTCCACAATCAATATTTCCAGCAAATATCATAGGGGAATTCAACTAAGTTAAAAAGAGAAATAAAAGGCACGAGGTGTAAACAATCCGCAATCCTGATACGGGCGCACCACCAACTCAAGCATCTTGGGCCAACTAGCTCGAGCAAGTAAACTTGGTTTCCGTTTATTATTTAATTTATAGTTATTTTGATTATTTTAGATAGATTTAATTTTGCAATAAATTTATTTTATTTTTAGTAAAAAGATCATGGTGGCATTGCCTACTGTTCACACAACATAGATGTCTGTCTATGAAAAATTTACTTTAACCGGTTTTGGAGCGATAGATAATGGGATCTCATATTTGAAATTCTCTCAATTTGGCGGATAGAAAAAGTGGAAACTCTTGCATGGTTTGATAGAGAGAGAGAGAGAGAGAGAGGGAGTCATGCAAGCATGTTTCTTGGAAAGGACCACCCAAGAATTTGGCAGCCACACATGAATAACGGTGTTTGTGAAGGCTCAACAACCTGACCCAAAAGGTGACAAAACGGATTTGGGACCCACTCTCGCCCCTTTGTACTATCCAACAAAAGCAAAGCGGAGGAGGGCCCATCAAAATCTCTCTCTCTCTCTCTCTCTCCGGCATCTGTGTTTTTGGTTTATAATATATTTTATTTCTCTCTCCTATCGCACTTACTTTTATATAATTTTTTGATGCGTTTTCGATTTTGTTTTGGAAAGCAAACAAGGAACGCAGCCCGCCTAAAACTCGGCAACGGAAGCAGGGCCACTGAACCAACGCGGCAACAACCAGTTTGAAGATAAGACTACGAGAGAGAAATAAGAGAGAGAGAAAGACTCAAATTTCTTTCACCTCCCCCACATCTACCTCCATAATTCACCCAAAGTGCATGCATTTTCCACTCGCCCCTTTTTCTCTCTAAAATTTAATTGCAGAGGCATGTATAACAAACAAGACTGGAGATAGAGATAGGGAGAGAGATGTGCTCTGTTTTGTATGACCTTTGTGGATAAGAAGCCTTCTCCATCTATACCAAGGACGTTACTTCCAACACTGGCCTTCCAAAACTGATCCACATCCCATTTTTCATTTTCTTTTTTCCCCAACATTTTTTTGTCTCCACCCATTCTCTCTCTCTCTCTCTCTCT